GCAAGTTTAAAAAGAGGCAGGGATGATTAAAACACTGTTAAAAAATTAACCTTGCTATAAATGTGGTAAAAGACATCATCAGTTGTATCAATGAAGGCTTTGATTTGGGGTGCGGATGTAAATAATTCAGTGATGTCAATTTTCAGTCAGTGGAAAGAGGAATGATTAAAAATATGATATGACTTCATGACCTCCCTAAATCCGGCTCAAAGTTGACTTCGAGACAATTGGAAAAATAAGTCGCATACGGTGATTAAAACAGCTATAAAATCTTAGCATTCTCATTTATTAAGAAATTACATCTATAATTAGAATGCCGAGTGAGATTCTTGTGTGATTTAGAAATTGCAGAGATGAGTTGTCTCATTAAAATAAAACGGAAGAGATTTATTCAAACCATTACACCTTCGGTAAAATTGTAATTCAGTAATTGTAAATTAACTGTACGCCTTCAATAAAATTGGGAGATTTTTGTATGGCTATGCCAAAACAGCAGAAAAACATCAGGGCCCCATTTTTACAGAGTTTATAGAATTTCTTGAAGGGAAAGAGGTGTAAGCAAGAACAACGACTTGATTCAATAATAAATACACTAATTTCTTTTTTTATTTTTTTAAATAAAAAGACATATCATCTATTGATAAAGTGTCACAGTACCACCATGTAATTAAGAATATATATATAATTAAGAATGTGATTAAGAAAATATTTCTATCTCTATCTAATCTAATCTATCCTATCATCTATCTATCTATCTATCTATCTCTACTCTATCTATCTATCTATCTACTCTATCTATCATCTATCTATCTATCTATCTATCTATCTATCTATCTATCTATCTATCTATCTATTGTAATTAAGAATATTATATATATATAATCCCAGAAGGGTAGGGCTATCTGATGAGAGCTAAATAGCTTGAAATAGATCTATACTAGTCTCCCTTTATTTCTTTGTCAGTAAATATAATTTTAATACGAAATAGTTTGCCGTGAAAACGACTGCTTGAGGACTCCTGGATTGGAGCTGAAAGGCGAAAGGAGCAGTATGCTCCTTCCCATATTTGGGTAGATCAGGTTGTTTCAATAGTAAACCCATAGATAGATAGATAGATAGATAGATAGATAGATAGATAGATAGATAGATAGATAGATAGATATGTGGAGAGATAGATAGATAGATAGATAGATAGATAGATAGATAGATAGATAGATAGATAGATATGTGGAGAGATAGATAGATAGATAGATAGATAGATAGATAGATATCAAAATCAATATCAGTATCAACATCTAGATATAGATAGATATATAGATAATAAGAATTTCTTGAAGGGAGGGAGGTATAAGCAAGAATAATGACTTGGTTCAATAATAAATACAGTAATTTCTTTTTTTTTTAAAGGACATATCTATTGATGAAACAGCACAACTCTACCATGTAATCAAGAATATAGGTATATATATATATTAAGAATTGCTGATAACAGATGTGGAATCTGAATCTCTCTTCCCTATTTGTTTCTGAAAGAGATGGTATAATATTACATTGCTTCGTTGGGTTGAATCACATATTATTATTTTTTTTGCAGTCCTTTCCATTTAACCAACATCTGAGCTGTCCAAACAGACAAGAAGAACCAATGAATTTAAGGGCACGTTCCTTGCATTTGGTTGTCAGTGCCCAACCTCCCTCACCTTTTGCTTAAAATAAATAGGAGCCATCCTGCTCATTTGCTTCACACCATTTGTGAGGATTGCTGAGGATCTCATGTGTCAACTTTTGACGTCTAGGACTTCGACCCCAGTAACATCTGCTGATCAAAATGGCTTAAGGGTCACCTTCAATCATCCCTTGCCTGACATTCATGTTTTCCTGAATTGAAAAGGGACATCATGGTTTTAAACAGGTCCCACCCTCAACGTCATATTTCGCAGGATGTGACCCAATGATTTCGAAAGGGTTTCAAAAGTAGACAATTGTTATTTTTGAAGCTGTAGCACTGAGGATCAGTTCACATAATGCAAAAGCTTTTTAAGCATGAAAGGTTTTGCTTGACCCCAATGAGAGACCTAGAAGGAGTTTGGCTCTTTACTCCTTTAGGACAACCACAAGCAAATCAGTTTTGCTTTCTTCATTAACTACCATGTGTTATCACATCTAAATTCTCACCTGTGGTTTAATTCAAGGAGGAGGAGGAGGAGGAGGAGGAGGAGGAGGAGGAGGAGGAGGAGGAGGAGGAGGAAGAAGAATAGACTAGGCTAGACTAGACATTGGAAAAGACCTTGTAAGTCATCCAGTCCAACCTTCGTCCAAGCAGGAGACCCTACACCATTTCTAACAGATGGCAGTCCAGTCTCTTCTTGAAAGCTTCCAATGATGAAGCTCCCACAATTTCCAAAGGCAACTTCTGTTCCATGGGTTGATTGTTCTCACTGTCAGAAAATTTCTCATTTCTAGGTTGAATCTCCCCTTGATCAGTTTCCATCCATTATTCCTTGTCTGGCCTTCAGGTGCTTTGGAAAACAGTTTGACCCTTTCCTCTCTGTGGCAGCCCCTCAAATATTGGAAGACTGCTATCATGTCTCCCCTGGTCCTTCTCTTCACTAGACTAGCCATGCCCAGTTCCTGTAACCGTTCTTCATATGTTTTAGTCTCCAATCCCCTAATCATCTTTGTTGCAGAAGGAGGAGGAGGAGGAGAAGGAGAAGAAGGAGAGAGAGGGAGGACGAGAAGCAAAAGCAGAAGAAGAAAAAGAAGAGAAGGAGGAGGAGGAGAAGGAGGGAGAGGGAGGAGGAGAAGCAGAAGAAGAAAAAGAAGAAGAGGAAGAGGAAGAGGAGGGGGAAAAGGAGGAGGAGAAGAAAAAGAGGAAGAGGTGGAAGAGGAGGAGGAGAAAGAAGAAGAAAAGGGAGAAGGAGAGGGAGAGGGAGAGGGAGAAGAAGAAGAGGAGGAGGAGGAGGAGGAGAAGGAGCGAGAGGGAGGAGGAGAAGCAGAAGCAGAAGAAGAAAAAGAAGAGGAAGAGGACGGGGAAGAGGAGGAGGAGAAGAAAAAGAGAAAGAGGTGGAAGAGGAGGAGGAGAAAGAGGAAGAAGAAGGGGAAGGAGAGGGAGAGGGAGAGGGAGAGGGAGAAGAAGAGGAGGAGGAGGAGGAGGAGGAGGAAGAGGAGGAGGAGGAGGAGAAAAGGAAAAGGGAAGAAGTTGAAGCCGTCTACCTCAATAACCGGTGGCTTAATTCAAACACATTAGCTCAGATTAAGCATAGCACATTGGTTTCAGATCAACAGATCAGAGTGAATTCAAACAGAAGGGACATGATCCTGAATGGTAAACCAATCAATCTTAGCTCATGATTGAAAATCTGCAGCAGCACCACCTGCAGAATAGTTAAGCAAGCTGAGATTCGCAGAGATGCGTATACATTCACCAACAATACAAAGGGATCTAGAATGAAGCATTTTGAGTTTCAGCGTCACTGTCGCTGCAAACTACATTCTCTTTTCTTTCATTTGTTGGCTTTCGATGTCTTTTCTATTAAAGACTTATTTTCTGTGTTTTTCATAGCGAAAAACCCTGGAAAAAGCACAGCGCGCCGATGTATGTAGGTGGTGTCATTTGTTGCAATATTGAAGTTTCCCTATCTGGGTGACCACCAGAGGCAGGAAAAAAAAAGGATATAAAGATCTCTTAAGTCTTCACTGACATCTAGTGGCTGTTTACGTGATTGCAGTCTTAGATACTGCGTAAACCTGCCCTATGGTGGATTGCTACTCCAAACTAAATCAGTTTAGTGACAGTCTGAATGAGATTGTTATGATGATGGAAAGGACAGACCAGCTAAATTGGAATTTAGATCACTGCCACCTTGTAGAGTCTGCGGCATAAATTTGGGCTGCCCCTTTGTCGTCAGCCTAGCCCACTTCAGAAGTGGGCTAACTGTGATTTTTGAGTGGACAATGATGTCTTTCACAGGAACACAATATGCATGATCTGGAAAGCACTTTAGAGATCAACTAGTCTAACTGCCCGTTCAGGGCAGGAACTGAGAATAATTCTACTACCAAGAACAGGACAAATCGGAACGATCTTTTAATAGAGCTAATGATCTACCTATTGGATGGATCTTTGAGGTATATAGATCCTGTTTACTTTCCAGTTAGGTGCTGTCTAAAGTCCGGTGGCATTTAACTGGGCAAAATTATCCCACAGGGATTTTTAACAGAATAACAGAGTTGGAAGGGTCCTTGTAGGTCATCTAGTCCAACCCTCCGCCCAAGCAGGAGACCCTACACCATTTCTGACAGATAGCAGTCCAGTCTCTTCTTGAAAGCCTCCAGTGATGAAGCTCCCACAACTTCTGAAGGCAACTTCTGTTCCATGGGTTGATTGCTCTCACTGTCAGAAAATTTCTCCTTATTTCTAGGTTGAATCTCTCCTTGTTCAGTTTCCATCCATTATTCCTTGTGTGGCCTTCAGGTGCTTTGGAAAATAGCTTGACCTCCTCCTCTCTGTGGCAGCCCCTCAAACATTGGAAGATGCTCTCATGTCTCCCCAGGTCCGTTTCTTCCCTAGACTAGAATAAACTTGATTTAACTGTGTTAAATCAAGCTAACAGGGAAGGGCACGCTGTGCCCAAATCCTAACTGTAGGATCCCATGCAAATAACTTCCAGTAACACAACGTCCATTTTATTTTATTTTAGTCTGGTGGGCAACTCCAGCCCTTATGTCCTAATCCTCTGAAGGTTGCTTACAAGAACAAACACCCTCAGAAGTTGTCCAATGGTGCTTTTTTTCCTAAGAGGCAACTGGACTTACTGGTTAAGTCCAGTTGCCTCTTGACGCCCCCCCCAAAAAGCACCTTGGATGGATGACTGAGACATTGACATCATCAAGTTTTTTTAGGGGGGGCAGAGGCTGGGCTCATTTGCATATGGAGGAGCGGAGGGGGCTCATTTGCATACTGGGGACCATATGATCCCAGGGAAGAGGGGAACAGCTGCTAGATCTCTAGGATCTGCAGCAGAGACCAAGGACAGCTGTTCAGGATCGGTGGAGAGAGAAAAAAAAAAAGCGGAGGAGCAGATTGAGCCCCGGCTAACTTTCTTGCAAGGACTCATGGCCAAGCTCCTCGTTCTACTCCTGGTCTTACTCCAAGCTTCCTTTCTCCGCGGGGCGCTGCGGTTCAGCGTGGACGAGGAGGCGCCTCCGGGGACGGTGCTGGGCAATTTGGCGGAGGAATTGCAAGGGCCCGCGGAGGCTGCGCCCCGCGGCTTCCAGCTGGTGAAGGCGCCGGGCAACGGGTCGCTGGTGCGCGTGCGGGAGCGGGACGGGCAGCTGAGCGTGGGGCCGGAGCGGCTGGACCGGGAGCAGCTGTGCGGCCCGTCGGAGGCGCCCTGCGTGCTGGCCCTGGACGTGCTGAGCCTGGGCGGGGGAGGCTCGGCGCCGCCCTTCCGCCTGGTGCACGTGGAGCTGGAGGTGCGGGACCTGAACGACCACGCGCCGCGCTTCCCGCAGCCCGCCGTGGCCCTGGAGGTGTCGGAGAGCGCGGCGCCCGGCACCCGCCTGCCGCTGCCCCTGGCGCACGACCCGGACGCCGGCTCCAACGGGCTGCAGAGCTTCGCCCTCTCGCCGGGCAGCCCCTTCGGCCTGGAGGCGCAGCGGCGCGCCGACGGGCTCCGCTGCGCCGAGCTGGTGCTGCTGCGCGAGCTGGACCGGGAGGCGCAGGCCGGCTACCGGCTGGAGCTGGTGGCCACGGACGGCGGGAGCCCCGCGCGCTCGGGGACGGCCACGCTCAGCGTGCGCGTGCTGGACGCCAACGACAACGCGCCCGCCTTCCCCCGGGGCGCGCTCCTGAGCCTGGAGCTGCCCGAGGACGCGCCGCCGGGCGCGCTGCTGCTGGAGCTGGAGGCGGCCGACGCCGACGAGGGCGCCAACGGGCAGCTGCTCTACGCCTGGGGCAGCCAGGTGCCCGCCGAGGCCCGCCGCCTCTTCAGCCTCGACCCGCTCTCGGGCCGCCTGGCCCTGCGCGCCCCCGTCGACTACGAGCTCCAGCGCGCCTACGAGCTGGACGTGCGGGTCAGCGACCGCGGCGCCAGCCCGCTGGCCGCCGCCTGCAAGGTCCTGGTGCGCCTGCTGGACGTCAACGACAACGCGCCCGCCCTGGCCGTCAGCGCCCTGGCCGCGCCCGCGGAGCCCGGGGAGGCCGGCTGGGCGGCGGCCGTCAGCGAGGCGGCGCCGGCGCAGAGCCTGGTGGCGCTGGTCAGCACCTCGGACAGCGACGCGGGCGCCAACGGCCAGGTGCGCTGCGCCCTCCTGCCCGCGCCCCACCAGCCCTTCGCCCTGCAGCGCGCCGACGCCGCCGACAGCTACCTGCTGCTCACCACCGGCGCCCTGGACCGCGAGCGCCTGCCCGAGTACAACCTCACGCTGGTGGCCGAGGACCTGGGCTCGCCCCCCGCCAGGACCGTCCGCTCGCTCACCGTCCGCGTGGCCGACGAGAACGACAACGCCCCGCGCTTCGCCAAGGCGCGCTACGAGGTGGCCCTGCCGGAGAACAACCCCCCGGGGGCCTACCTCGCCACCGTCCTGGCCTCCGACCCCGACCTGGGACCCAACGGCAAGGTGACCTACAGTCTGCTGGACAACCAAATCATGGGCGCCTCTATCTCTACCTACGTTTCGGTAGATGCGGGCACAGGAGCTATCTACGCCCTCCGGTCTTTCAATTATGAGTTCCTGAAGGAGATGGAGTTGTCCATCCAAGCTACGGATGGAGGATCTCCTTCGCTCTCCAGTACGGCCTTGGTCAAGGTACGGGTGATGGACCAAAACGATAACGCTCCCGTCATCTCTTCTCCTGCACTCACCAATGGGTCTCTTGAGATTGGGGTCTCCAGCAGAGCTTCCCGAGACTCCCTGGTTGTCCACATCAAAGCCAGAGATGCAGACGAGGGCACCAGCTCAGAGCTGAGCTTCACGTTCTCAGAGGATCCCCAGCAACAGGAAAGATCCCTGGATCTTTTTGCCATCAACCAGAAAACAGGGGAGGTCACGCTGCGGAGGAGCTTATCTGAAGAACAGCTGGGCCAGGTCTACCCTTTGCTCCTCACCGTGGCTGACAATGGGTTGCCACCTCTCTCCACCACCGTGGCGGTCAACTTCCTGGTGACTGCCTCACTGCCTCCCTCTAGTGGCCAGGAGTCCATGGCCAAGCCCAGCTCTTGGGACGACCAACCTTTGCAATGGGATGTCCCTTTAATCGTCATCATTATCCTGGCGGGAAGTTGTACGTTGCTCTTGGTGGCCATCATCACCATCGCCACCACGTGCAATCGGCGTAAGAAGGAGAAGAAGGTGGTCTTGGATGAACCTCTCGACACTTCTCATCTGGAGAAGGGGCACGAGGAGGGAAGTACCAGTGACGGTGCCCTCAATCCCTCCAGTCCTCACTTCGATGTCCATTCCTTCCCCAGCAAATCTTCTTTCGCTAGTCCAGAGCCTTCTCCGGCCAGTGAAGATATCCCAGCATCTGAGAACAGCCGAGAAACCAACAGCCTCTACGACAGCCAGAGCCGACTGCGAGGAGCGAACGCAGAGGTAACCTTCTACTCCTTCTCTTGCTGGGTGGAGAGAAGGAAAATTACCTTGCTGGTTGCACCTTAACTTACCTCTGAAGGTCAAAGAAGTAATTAATAACAAGGCAGCAACGGCCAGGTGCGCTGCGCCCTCCTGCCCGCGCCCCACCAGCCCTTCGCCCTGCAGCGCGCCGACGCCGCCGACAGCTACCTGCTGCTCACCACCGGCGCCCTGGACCGCGAGCGCCTGCCCGAGTACAACCTCACGCTGGTGGCCGAGGACCTGGGCTCGCCCCCCGCCAGGACCGTCCGCTCGCTCACCGTCCGCGTGGCCGACGAGAACGACAACGCCCCGCGCTTCGCCAAGGCGCGCTACGAGGTGGCCCTGCCGGAGAACAACCCCCGGGGGCCTACCTCGCCACCGTCCTGGCCTCCGACCCCGACCTGGGACCCAACGGCAAGGTGACCTACCGGCTTCCTGGGAACACCTGCCCCGTCGAGGCTGTTCTCGGTGGATCCCCGCCTGGGCGTTGTGCGAGTTGAGGGCTCCCTAGACCGCGAGGAGGAGGAGGAGGATGAGGCGCCCTGGCATGAAGTAGCGGTGGAAGCTTGCGACGGCGGCAGCCCGTCGCTGTGCGGACGCACCCTGGTCGTTGTCAGGGTGGAGGATCAGAACGACAACCCGCCCCGGATCATCTCCCCGCCTTTAATGAACGGCTCGGCGGATCTCCTCCTGCCTCTCAGTGCCCCGCCCGGCTTCCTGATCTCTCAGCTGGCAGCCCGGGACTCCGACGATGGTCGTAACTCCGAGCTGACTTTCTCCCTCCTGGAAGGGGCGTCCAGGCTCTTCGCGGTGCGGCCGCGGACGGGAGAGCTCTTTCTGCGGGAACGGGTCCCGCCTGAGGCCGCGCCCCGCTCCGCTTTCCGCTTGGTTGTTGCCGTCGAGGACGGTGGGTTGCCTTCTCTGACTTGCACAGCGACGCTGCGGCTGATTTGCACGGAGACGCTGCCCTCTAGCGTGCAGATAGTGGCGCTGCAGCTTGGCGTCGCCGGAGGAGAACCGTGGGATCCGTCCGTGCTGTGGATCGCCTTGCTGGGAGGAGGCTGCGGGGTTTTGCTGGTGGCCATTCTACTCGTGGGAGCCTCTATTTGGGTGGGCAGGAAGAAGTTCCCCGTTGGGAAGCCAATGAAGCCGGTGGGACCCAGAGAAGGTGGAAGCCGTCCTGTTGCTCCATGGGGGGACGGGACCTCCAAAGACTCTGCTTGGAGTGGGGCTTTCTCAGCAGATGAAGAAGAGAGCCGTGACTCCTTGGGTGTGACTGAGACCGAAACTCCTAGCTCCGATTCCCAGGTATCTTCTCAACTAGGGTTAAATCCTGACTCTGTTTGGCTGCTGAGATTCACCTCCTATTTTATCAGGTATAGAATAGGAATAAACATGGAGATAGGAATAGGAATAGGAATAGGAATAGGAATAGGAATAGGAATAGGAATAGGAATAGTGGAGTGGAGTGGAGTGGAGTGGAGTGGAGTGGAGTGGAGTGGAGTGGAGTGGAGTAGAGTAGAGTAGAGTAGAGTAGAGTAGAGCAGAGCAGAGCAGAGAGAGCAGAGCAGAGCAGAGCAGAGCAGAGCAGAGCAGAGCAGAGCAGAGCAGAGTAGAGGAGTAGGAATAGGAATAGGAATAGGAATAGGAATAGGGTGGGGTGGGTGGGGTGGGGTAGGGTAGGATAGGATAGGATAGGAATAGGAGTGGAGAGTGGAGTGGAGTGGAGTGGAGTGGAGTGGAGTGGAGTGGAGTGGAGTGGAGTAGAGTAGAGTAGAGTAGAGTAGAGTAGAGTAGAGTAGAGTAGAGTAAGTAGAGTAGAGTAGAGTAGAGTAGAGTAGAGATAGGATAGGGATAGGGATAGGATAGGGATAGGGTGGGGGGTGGGGTAGGGTAGGGTAGGGTAGGGTAGGATAGGAATAGGAGTGGAGTGGAGTGGAGGAGTGGAGTGGAGTGGAGTGGAGTGGAGTGGAGTGGAGTGGAGTAGAGTAGAGTAGAGTAGAGTAGAGTAGAGTAGAGTAGGGATAGGGATAGGGATAGGGATAGGGATAGGGATAGGGATAGGGATAGGGTGGGGGGTGGGGTAGGGTAGGGTAGGGTAGGGTAGGGTAGGATAGGAATAGGAGTGGAGGAGTGGAGTGGAGTGGAGTGGAGTGGAGTGGAGTGGAGTGGAGTGGAGTGGAGTGGAGTGGAGTGGAGTAGAGTAGAGTAGAGTAGAGTAGAGTAGAGTAGAGTAGAGTAGAGTAGAGGAGTAGGAATAGGAATAGGAATAGGAATAGGAATAGGAATAGGAATAGGGTGGGGTGGGGTGGGGTGGGGTGGGATAGGATAGGATAGGATAAGGAATAGGAGTGCAGTGGAGTGGAGTGGAGTGGAGTGGAGTGGAGTGGAGTGGAGTGGAGTGGAGTAGAGTAGAGTAGAGTAGAGTAGAGTAGAGTAGAGTAGAGTAGAGTAGAGTAGAGTAGAGTAGAGTAGAGTAGAGTAGAAAGGAATGGAATGGAATGGAATGGAATAGAAAATATGGAGTGGAGTGGAGTGGAGTGGAGTGGAGTGGAGTGGAGTAGAGTAAGTAGAGTAGAGTAGAGTAGAGTAGAGTAGAGTAGAGTAGAGTAGAGTAGAGTAGAGTAGAGTAGAGTAGAGTAGAGTAGAGTAGAGTAGGAATAGGAATAGGAATAGGAATAGGAATAGGAATAGGGGGTGGGGTGGGGGTGGGGTGGGGTGGGGTGGGGTGGGGTGGGGTAGGGTAGGATAGAAGGCAGAATATAGAACAGAGTAGAGTAGAGTAGAGTAGAGTAGAGTAGAGTAGAGAGAAGAGAAGAGAAGAGAAGAGAAGAGAAGAGAAGAGAAGAGAAGAGAAGAGAAGAGAGATCGGAATAAATAGATAATAGAATAGAATAAATAGAATAGAATAGGAAAATAAATAGGAATAGGAATAGGAATAAAAATGGGAATAGAAATAGAAGAACAGAAACAGAATAGAATAGGATAGAATAGGATAGAACCTTGAAGGTCTTCTAATCGAGCCCCCTGCTGAAGCAGAAGAACCTATATGCCATTTAAGACAAGTGACTGTCCAGTTTCTTCTTAAAAACTTCCAGTGTTGGAGCACCCACAACTTCCGGTGGCAAGCAGTTCCACTGGTTAATTGTCCTCACTGTCAGGACGTTTCTCCTTAATTCCAGGTTGCTTCTCTCCTTCGTTAGTTTCCATCCATTGCTTCTTTTCCTATCGTCGGGTGTTTTGGAAAATAGGTTGAGCCCCCACTTTATTTGTGGCAGGAGCCCCTCAAATACTGGAAGACTGCTATCGTGTCACCCCTAATTCTTCTTTTCTCTAGACTAGTCCTAAACTGGGTGCAATTGTGGGATTTAAGCTCTTCCCTTACAAACGATGCTTCTTTCTTTACCTCCAGCCAAGAGGGAATTATTTCTTGGAATTATTTTTCAGTTTGCAAACCACAAAATCCAAGGCCATTTCTAACCCGCGTGATTTACTGCATAATCCCTTCATTTTTGGATAGGACGACCGACTAGGTATATAGGAAGTCCTTGACATACAACAGTTCATTTAGTGACCATTCAAATGGCACTGAAAAAAGTGACTTACGGCCATTTCCCCGTTGCAGCATCCCCGTGTTGACGTGATCAAAATCCAGACGCTTGGCAGCTGGTTCGTATTTATGACGGCTGTCGTGTCCCCGGGGTCAGCGTTTGCGATCTACCCACAAGCGAAATCAACGGAAAAGCCAGATTCGCTTTAACGACCGTGTCACTAACTTCACAACTGCAACAATTCACTTAACAACGGTGGCAAGAAAAGTCGTACAACGGGACAAGCTCCCTTAACAAACGTTTCACTTGAGCGACCTGAATTTTGGGCTCCGTTGTGGTCACAACTCGAGGACCACCTGTATAACAACTCATTAATGCCACAATGACACACTCTTAAGTCATTGGCTAATGAGTGGCTATTTCTTTTTCTTGGTATCCACCTGCCAAGCCAAAAACTGATTTCTTTAATATATGTTTTTTCTGCACCTTTTAGTAGTTCGTTAACTAAGCATTTACTGGTTAAGTTGCAAAGAAATAAAAGGAGTCAAAGTCCTTAGCATTAAATTTGCATTAAATTAAATTAAATTAATTAAATTAAATTAAATTAAATTTTAAATTTGGTTTTAAATTATTGGGGTTTTAAATTTGTTCAGCCAAATTATTTAATTCGTTTTATTTTATTTTAAATTTTGTATTTATATGTTTTATTCTATGGCTGTTCACTGCCCTGAGTCCCTTCGGGAGTAGGGCAGTATATAAATTCAATAAAATAAATAATAAACAAACAAACAAACAAACAAACAAACAAACAAACAAATAAATAAATAAAATAAATAGGAATTTGTCCATTCCCTAGATTGCCCATGAAATACCAAATTTAGATTTGGTCAAGTTCTTTCAGCAGCAGAGTTTACAAAATCCCCCGTGAGTGTATTTATTTCCAGTCCTTACACAGGTAGTCCTTGATTTATGACCACAATTGTGCCCAAAAGAAGCTGCTTGGATGAGAAGTGAAACGCCTTCGAAAGAAAAAACCAAAAAGTCCAGTTGCCTCTTGAAAAAAGCACTTTTGGGACATTATCTTAAAAACTTTACAAACTGGGGCTTGTTCCAGGGGTGAAATCCAATTTTTTTCCCCTACCGGTTCTGTGGACGTGGCTTGGGGGGCGTGGCAGGGGAAAGGATATTGCAAAATCTCCATTCCCACCCCACTCTGGGACCAGCCAGAGGTGGTATTTGCCGGTTCTCCGTACTACTCAAAACTTCCGCTACCGGTTCTCCAGAACCTGTTAGAACCTGCTGGATTTCACCCCTAGCTTGTTCCTTTCAAAAATTTAAACATTCCTCAGCCATTTTAACTGCGCAATTAATAGTCTTTTGCCTTGACAAATTTAGCTGTTAGGTGACTAACCTTATTTCTATCAATAACACATTCATTTGAGTGCTAAGCCCCGCAAATTAACCCTGTACAGAAGGATTTTTATTTTTATTTTTTTGCTGTGGATTAAGCCAGTTTGAAATCCCTCCTGCTCTAAAATCATATTCTCTTATAAGAACACCCAAATCTATGAAAGAAAGAAAAAAAAAAAAGGTATAAACCAATTAACTAACCAATTTTTTTTTTTAGAAGGAAGTAGAAAAAGAAACAAATATATCTGCTCGAGTCTATTATCTGGCGCTCTGGAAAGTGAATTTCGACATGTGCTTATTTTATAAAACACCCATCACCAAGGGTATGGATTTTCTTGGTGGGAGGGCCATTTAATTAAAAAAAATATAGATTTAGCAGAGGCCTCAAGCCGAGACCTACAGCTTTTTCCAAAGAAGGCAGACGTAGGTGGGAATGGAAGAAAAAAAAAAGTAAATTTTCAAACCTAACGCGCTGCTCTTTATATCTAACATATTATTGTGTGTTCTTTTCTTTAGCATTGGAAAAAAAAAAAAGAAACTGCACATTGTTTGTCTGTTTCCTTTTGATAGGCTCGGATTCTTATTCCTGTTGAGCCCGCATCTGAATGGGAAGCAAGCCAATCCGCTTCGAATTTTAGGTAAACTCAACGTTTGATGCCGGTCTATCTTCTTTTGACTTTTCTCTGCTTGGCACTGTGTTCTTCTGTGTGGGTAAAAATGTCAGATTCGTATTTTACACCAAGGGTGGCGACTTTTGTTTGCTTGTTTGTAAACTGAGATAGTCTAGGACGGTGATGGCTAACCTTTTTGCCATCGCGTGCCAAGAAAGGGGGGGCAGGAGGGTCGCGCGCATGCCTGCCCACACCCATAATTCTATGGGTCGCGCCCCCGTGCATGCGTGCGCAACGACCCCCCCGCTCCCTCTGCTCCTGGCATGTGATGGCCTGGTAGGCCCGTTTTTCTCTCTCACCTGGCTCCAGAGCCTCTCTAGGAGTCTGGGGAGGGTGAAAACGGCCTTCCCCACCCCCCCTGAGGCCCTCCAGAGGCCAGAAACGTGGCAACGTGGCCAGAAATGGCTGTGTGCAGCTCTCCTGGGCTCCATTTTGACGTGACAGCCTCCTGCAGCTTTCTTCTGCCAGCGGAAACGGAGCCCAGGAGGGCCATTTTCTCCGGCAGAGGGCTGCAGGAGGCTGTCATGGCTGAAAACGGAGCCCAGGAGGGCCATTTTTCTCTGGCAGAGGGCTGCAGGAGGCCTTTGCAGCCAAAAACGGAGACCGGGAGAGCCACACATGGCCGTTTTTGCTGGCTGAGGGCTGAAAGAGGATCCCCCAGCCCCACCCACTCCACCACAAGTGCCCCCAACACAAGTGATGTCAAGCTGGTCATGCCAACTCCAGCCACACCTACCTCCCCCAAGGTCAAACACAACCCTGATGCAGCCCTCAATGAAATCGAGTTTGACACCCCTGATCTAAACCATCTGGAAGGCACCCCCGATACTTACTTCTGCTTTAGAAGTTTTGATCCCTGAAAATTTAATCGTGATATGTTGGCTGGCAAAGATGCTGACTTTTCTGTCTCTGTTCCCTGGGCTGTAGCTATTCGGGTCTGGATCGAGTGAGCGGAGAAGACAGTGGGAAAGGAGACAGTGAATGCAGCGACAGTGACTTCAATACTAGCAGGGACAGAATGAAAGAGATCTCCGTAGAAAAAGTTGGGAAACAGAATGGTAAGTTGACCAACTTCAAATCATCGTTTGTGATGAATTTAAATATGAGCCAGCAGTGTGCGGCAGCAGCTAATGAAACCAATGCAATCCTATGTTGCATTCATAGAGGGATAGAATCAAGATCATGTGAAGTACTAGTACCTCTCTACTTAGTAAGACCACACCTAGAGTACTGCATCCAGTTTTGGTCACCACACTATAAAAAAGGATGTGGAGACTCTAGAAAGAGTGCAGAGAAGAGCAACCAGGATGATGAGGGGACTAGAGGCTAAAACATACGATGAACGGTTGCAGGAACTGGGCATGGCTAGTCTAGTGAAGAGAAGGACCAGGGGAGACAGGAGAGCAGTCTTCCAATACTTGAAGGGATGCTACAAGGAAGAGGGGGGAGGGCAACTTATTTACCAAAGCACCTGTAGGCAGGACAAGAAATAATGGATGGAAACTACCTAAGGAGAGAAGCAACCTAGAACTAAGGAGAAAATTCCTAACAGAGAGTACAATTAACCAGTGGAACAAATTGCCTTCGGAGATTGTGAGTGCCCCAACACTGGAGGCTTTTAAGAAGATGTTGGACAACCACCTATCAGAAATATTATACATCTCCTGTGAGAACAGGGGGGGTTGGACTAGAAGACCTCCAAGGTCCCTTCCAACTCTGTTACTGTTACTGATCCTGGGTCGCACAATTTGAATATCTCTCCTTGGGTTACCGTGGATCTAGATTTGCGTAAGAGAGAAACAATTCTTGGGGTTGATTTTCAAAAGAATTGGGCAAGGGAAATATAACCACCGGTTGAAAAAGAACATGCAGCTCAGGTGAACTTGGAATAATTTGTGTTAGTTACACAAATGCAATGTTTGTTTCTTTGCTGTAGAATTCATAGCAAAACACAGCATTTTCCCAACTGATTAACCAGCTAATTGTTGTGGCCCGCCAGCAGCCAGCGGAGCTGGCAGCAGATTCAGACAGTGAGGAAGTTGGGGAGGAACATGGGCCTGTCCTGGAGTCTGGGGAAGGCTCTGATGAGGGCTCTGCATCGGAGGCAGAGAGAGGGCCAGGGCCGTATGCCAGTTATCAGCTGCCTTCGGAGTCAGACATCAGTGAGGCAGATAAACAGCTGGAGCCTATTCCCATTGTGTGCATGCGCAGAGTTGCCAGACGAAGGGAACAGCTAAAGAACAAGGGTCGACTTGGGAGTAAGGCCACAGAGGGATGATGAAGGGCCCCTCCCAGAGGGAATAAAAGAGGAGCGAAAGGGGAGTGGAGTTTGCAGGAGACAATGAGTTCGCTTAATTAGTTCATGACTCTCAGAGATTTCTTGCCAATTTTGAAGATATCGGCCTGGCAGCTCTCCAAGGTCTGTGACTGTCAATTCTCCCTTGAATGACTTTGCTGAAGGTGAAGGAGAAGAATTCACCTTTTGTTTAATAAAAGGGGTTTTGTCGGGACCAGGAATCTGCTTCGTGCTTTTTTTGGGAAGCCTAGGTCAGAACACTAATATTAGCACATTATTTTTTCATCAGGGACCACCACTTCTGCTGAGAGAACAACTTGCAAAGAATCAAACATCTACAATGGTCAACATGCGCACCTGTCTTTGGGAAGGAAACATCTACCCTTTTACCGTGAACGCACCGAACTTCTCTCCTATCCCGCAGCCCGAATTAACAGATCTCTCATCCAGCAGAGAAATACTCATTGTCGTCCCGAGTTCCTCCCGCAAAGCCAAGACTGTCTTCCAGTTTGGAATGAAAGACTACCCACCGTTTGTGAACAAGGACGTCACAGCGGGACAACCGCAATGGTTAATTCCCAGGAATGCCAAGAATTAAGCAGTTTCCCTCGAAACACTTCCGAGATCGTGACATCATTTTGACAAGACAAGGAGAAATTTTCTGACAGCGAGAACAGTCAACCCATGGAACAGAAGTTGCCTTCAGAAGTTGTGGGAGCTCCATCACTGGAGGCTTTCAAGAAGTTTATTCTAGTCTAGAGAAGAGAAGAACCAGGGGAGACACGAGAGCAGTCTTCCAATATTTGAGGGGTTGCCACAAAAAGGAGGGGATCAAGCTATTTTCCAAAGTACCCGAAGGCCAGACAAGCAATAATGGATGGAAACTGACCAAGGAGAGATTCAACCTAGAAATAAGGAGAAATTTTCTGACAGTGAGAACAATCAACCCATGGAACAGAAGTTGCCTTCAGAAGTTGTGGGAGCTTCATCACTGGAGGCTTTCAAGAAGAGACTGGACTGCCAACTGTCAGAAATGGTGTAGGGTTTCCTGCTTGAGCAGGGGGTTGGACTAGATGACCTCCAAGGTCCCTTCCAACTCCGTTAATCTGTTAAAATCAGTTTACAGCCATTCTGTGCAGTTTTTGACAAAACTTCCTTTCTGTATCCCAGGTGTCGGGGGAAAACAATTTGGTTCATGCTAAACATAATACTTAACGCACATTGATTCGGAGGGAGAATTGTGTAGCGGCTAAAATAATGCATCCTTTTTTGAATGGATTGCGTCTTATACGAAGAAAATGTAAATACAGGTAGTCCTCAACTAAACGACCACAATTTTGAAGCCCAAAATTTCTGCTGCTAAGTGAGACAGTTGATGAGTGAATTTTGTCCTAGTGTATGGCCTTCCTTGCCCCAGTTTTTAATTGCAGCAGCCACTAACAGTTGAATCCCTGCTACGTTGCTAAGTTGGTAACCTGGTTGTTAAGTGAATCTGGCTTCGCCGTTGACTTTTCTTTGTCCGAAGGTCATAAAAAGGGGATCACGTGACCCCAGGCACAACTGCAACCGTCATAAATATGAGTCAGTTGCCAAGCAACTGGATTTTGATCACGTGACGATGGGAATAGTCATAAATTTGAAAAACAGTCATTTTTTTTCAGTGCCTTTGTAACTTCAAGGGGTCACTAAAAGAATTATTGTAACCTTGAATGATCTCAACCAGGACGTTTGAATTTATCTGAAAATTCAGCAACTGGATGAAGGTGACTGCTTTGGAATGGTCATAAAAATATTCCAAGAATAGAATAGAATAGAATAGAATAGAATAGAATAGAATAGAATAGAATAGAATAGAATAGAATAGAATAGAATAGAATAGAATAACAAAGTTGGAAGGGACCTTGGAGGTCTTCTAGTCCAACCCCCTGCTTAGGGAGGAAACCCTACACCACTTCAGACAAATGGTTATCCAATCTCTTCTTAAAAACTTCCAGTATTGGAGCATTCACAACTCCTGGAGGCAAGTTGTTCCACTGATTAATTGTTCTAACTGTCAGGAAATTTCTCCCTAGTTCTAAATTGCTTCTCTCCTTGATTAGTTTCCGCTCATTGCTTCTTGTTCTGCCCTCAGGTGCTTTTTTTTTTTTTTAAATTTGATTTATATGCCGCCCTTCTCCGGAGACTCAGGGCAGCTTACAGTGCGTTAAGCTTTGAAGAATAGTTTGACTCCTTCTTCTTTGTGGCAACCCAATAAGACATTCCTATTAGGAATATTTACCGAAAAATACACCAAAGAAAAAAAAAATTTGGTTTTACATATTATAACAGCCGCACGCATATTATAAGCACAAAATTGGAAAAGGGAAAACATACCAACAGAAGAAGAATTGATAAAAAAAAAAAATCCTAGAATGTGCCGAGATGGGCAAATTAACAAAAGAGCTCAAAGAAAAAGAAGATACGGAATATTATATAATCTGGAACAAATGGTATAATTGGCTCGAGACTAGAAATAATGGATAATAAAAAATAGGGATGAAGTTGAAAATGGAAAGAACGAATATGACAATGTATAGAATGTATAAAATCAGTAGGATTGTTAAGACGTATAATGTAATTAAAAGAGAAAGGAACAAGAAAATGGAATAGTATAAAGGGAATTGGGGGAGAACATAAATATTAGAAGATGACCACCATGGAATAGCTGTAAAAAGAGAGTGTATGTATGTATGTATGTATGTTTTGTGTTTTGTGTTTGTCATATTGTGTTATAATAAAAATATTTTTTTTAAAAAAATATCCCAATAAAAGAAACAGGAGACAGCAATACAACAAACAATTCTTACTTTAAGATTCAGAGGTTTATTTTATGAACAATTTCATGAACATGAATAACTATCATAACACAATTTATATGAATAACCCATTGCAGTGAGGTCCATGGACATCAGGGGTGAAATCCAGCAGGTTCTGACAGTTTTTGGAGAACCGGTAGCAGAAATTTGGAGTAGTTCGGAGAACCAGCAAATATCACCTCTGGCTGGCCCCAGAATGGGGTGGGAATGGGGATTTTGCAGTATCCTTCCCCTGGAGTAGGGTGGGAATGGAGATTTTGCAGTATCCTTCCCCTGCCACGCCCACCAAGCCACACCACACCCACTAAGCCAGGCCCACAGAACTGGTAGTAAAAACCTTTGTATTTCACCACTGACAGACATAGCTGAGTCCAACAAGGAGTAGCTATGGCCAGTGGCCCTGAACTCATGCCAAGAGATTCTTTTCTGCACTCATTTCACAACTTACTTCCTTGTTCTTTCTTACTGACAGACTGTCTCCACAGATACCCATGTTAATCTCAAACCTCTATCCATCGGCTACTTTCAGTTCCTTATTTCTCGCGGTTTCCTCCTACTACGTCCAAATATATTTCAAAACTACGTACGTTGCAAAAATCACATTTCACAGCAACGGCTCAGCAGGATTACAAATAGTTCTGATACACTTTGAAATCTTTCTGTCTAAAGCTTTGCTTCATGTAGTTTTTTAGGGCCTGTTTTTTCCACTGAGGCCTTATTGATTCTATTAGATCAACTGGTGTTTCCCACAAAATGGTCAGGAGAAGGTCTCTCTGAAACAGAAGTGGGATTCACTTACTTTCCCTACCGGTTCGCAAATGTGAGCGCTCATGCGTGTACTCGCTTCGCTCGCCCAAGCCCACCTTCCACGAATGCTCAGCCTTCCGTGCATGCTCTTTGCTCATGCGCACACCTTCCACGTATTAGCATGGCCTCCAAAACGTGGCTAAATAGGACGTCATTACATCCGGACGGGTGGGCAGGGCCTACCTCAGTCGGCGCTACCAGTTCGCCTGAACCAGATAGAACTGTCTGAATCCTATCTCTGTTCTGAAACCTTTTCAGAGTTGAAGTGGTCTTGCACATAACATCTGACGGTAGAGTTGAATGTGGTTGAGTAGTTACTCAGCTTTCAAATGGACCTGCACATGCTCCTTAGTTCTAAGTTGCTTCTCTCCTTGATTAGTTTCCACCCATTGCTTCTTGTCCTACCTTCTAGTGCTTTGGAGGATAGCTTGACTCCTCTTCTTTGGGGCAGCCCCTGAGATATTGGAACACTGCTATCATGTCTCCCCTAGGCCTTCTTTTCATCAGAATAGACATACCCAGTCCCAGCAACTGTTCTTTGTATGTTTTAGCCTCCAGTCTCCTAATCTTCTTTGTTGCTCTTCTCTGCACTCTTTCCAGAGTCTCGACAACTTTTTTACATTGTGGTGACCAAAACTGGATGCAGAATTCCAAGTGTGGCCTTACCAAGACCTTACAAAGTGGTATTAACACTTCACGTGGTCTTGATTCTATCCCTCTGTTGATGCAGATGAGGAAGACTTGAATCCCAATGCAGATAAATCAAAGAGAGATGGAGCTGCTCTGCTCAGCAATCCATTCGCCCCCTTCGTAGTTGGTTGGAAAAGGAACGTCACAAAATTAACAGCCACAATTGGCTTCCATTGAAGGTTGAAACACCGCTTGGCCTCCTTTCCTTGCAGAGTTCAAATGCTAATAAGTAATCAAGGGCCACTTGCGACATTGTATGCAAAATACTTTTGAGCTTTTGAATTGTCTCCGTCTTTCCTGAACAAAAGATTTAAAATGTGCTTTAAAAAAAAAAAACACAAAATCACTGACCTGGAATTAGATTTGAATTACAGCATAGAATTTGTCGCTTTTGGTTTCCATCATGACATGACATCCCCTTTTTCACCTCTCTTTCATAATTCATTCAGTAATTTCCCTTTTCAACCAGAATTAATTACAGTATTGGTATTTGTATTTCTTCGGAAGGCAGCCTTAGGCACCTCCGTATGAGCAATTCCAGGCCATACCGGTGCTTCCGTAAGTGGCTACACTATTCGTATAATTGCAGGCATTAACCTGGATTTAAAAAAAGAAAAATCTGAACTATTATCTGTAGTTTCCCCCCTCATTAAAGAAATCGCTGAAGCTGTGATTCGCGCAGAGATCAGATGGCGCGGTTTTGTTTCTGTAGGGCTAACATTTTGCAAAAACGAATACAGTGCCGCTTTGCTATCTGAAAACAGCGGAACAGAAAGCCGTTCCAATTGTTTACATTAGAGAACCTTTTATACATGTGTTATCACAGCTATCTTAATGGTTTAAAAGCCGCGACTAGAACTGTTACCAAGTTAGCAGTCACATTCACACAGTACTGTGAGTTTGGTCAATTCTCTCCCCCCCCCCATTTGACTAGTTCAGGGGTCTGCAACCTTAAACACTCAAAAGAGCCATTTGGACCCGTTTCCCACAGAAAAGAAAACACCGGGAGCCACAAAACCCTTCCCATGCCTGACTGTTTCTTGAGCGGCCACAAAACTAGCATATGTAGTTGAGTTAAACGTTCTGTTTTCTTCTGAAATTTTTATTTTCTTGGATTTATCCATGGTTGGCCTACAAAGGTGTGTGTGTGTGTGAAAAGCTCAATAAATTGCATGCTGGCGGATGTCGCACATTGGCGGTTGTGATGCATATTTTGAGTGACAGGGAGCCACAGCAGAGGGGGGGTGAAAGAGCCACATGCGGCTCCAGAGCCGCAGGTTGCTGACCCCTGGACTAGTTATTGAGACGGTCAAATAAGCCTCTTCTTCTTCTTCTTCTTCTTCTTTTTTTGTTGTTGTTAGTTGACAGACTTGATTTTTGTTCCTTCGGGGTGTTTCCTTGTGTTGGAAGAAATTTCCATCTGGTTCAGTTCCAAGCTGGGAGAAAGACACTGAAAACTTGGAGGCTGATTGGAAAGATGGTTTATTGGTGAACAGGACCCCGTGGTCTTGGGCATCTGACCACATGGAGTGGAGAGAGAGAGGTATTTATACCCTCTCTTGGCCCTTGCCCTTGAGCTTCCTGTTCCTGTGCAAGAACATGTATTCTATTGGTTGTCAGACTCCCATGGGGCTATGCAAGGGTCATAGCTAACCTTTTAGCTTGTCTGAATTCAGTTTGATTGAAACCTGGACTCTCTGAGGTGATGTAATGTGGAGGCTTGTGTCCTGAAGACGCAATTCCTATTGCGTCTTAATAGCTTTCCTGGTTTGGATCTTGAGCGAGGGCTGATCCTACCATTCTGCCTAATTCTGCCTTTGTTCAAAAGATCCTGTCTTGAATGGATTATACCAAATCTGCATTTCTAAAAGCTGTCCTCCGCTTAATATCTGGCTGGGGCAGGGAACTGTCCTGCTCTGAGTTTCTCTTTCTCATAGATGTGGTTGTGGTGTAGATGCTGAAAATGACACCGTCTGCCTTTATCCAGCTTCTCCTCTTTCTTCTTCTTCTTAACAGAATAACAGAATTGGAAGGGACCTTGGAGGTCTTCTAGTCCAACCCCCTGCTATACCATTTCAGACAAATGGTTATCCAAATTCTTTTTAAAAACTTCCAGTGTTGGAGCATTTACAAGTTCTGGAGACAAGTCGTTCCACTGATTAATTGTTCTCACTGTCAGGATATTTCTCCTTATTTCTAAGTTGCTTCTCTCCTTGATTAGTTTCCCCCCATTGCTTCTTGTCCTGCCCTCAGGTGCTTTGGAGAATAGCTTGACTCCCTCTTCTTTGTTGGCAGCTCCTGAGATATTGGAATACTGCTATCATGTCTCCCCTAGTCCTGCTTTTCATTAAAGTAGACATATCCAGTTCCTGCAACTTTTCTTCATGTTTTAGCCTCCAGTCCCCTAATCATCTTTGTTGCTCTTTCTTCTTTTCCAACTTACAAAGAGAGCATGGCTTAATAAGAAGCTGATGGAACGTACAAAGATCCAGGTCTACAGAGCCTGCGTCCTGAGCATACTCTTGTACTGCAGTGAGTCTTGGACCCTTTACGCACGGCAGGAGAGAAAGTTGAACACCTTTCATATGTGCTGTCTCCGACGTATTCTTGGCATCACCTGGCAGGACAAAGTTCCAAATAGCGCAGTCTTGGAACGTGCTGGAATTTCTAGCATCTATACACTATTGAAACAGCGATGTCTACACTGGCTGGGGCACATCGTGAGAATGGCTGATGGTCGGATTCCGAAAGATCTCCTGTCTGGAGAATTAGTGCAGGGAAAGTGCCTCAGAGGGAGACCACAGCTGAGATATAAGGATATCTGCAAGAGGGACCTAGAGGCCCTGGGAATGGACATCAACAACTGGGAAACCTTGACCTCCGATCGTTCAGCTTGGAGGCTAAAGATGCAGCATGGCCTTCTCCAATTCGAAGAGACACTTGAGGCAAAGAGGCCGTCCCGGAACCAGCGAAATCTGGGGGCTGGGCAGGGGACAGAATGTATCTGCCCTCAGCATGGAAGGGATGGCCACTCTCGAATCGGCCTTTTTAGTCACACCAGATGCTTTTTTAGGACCTCTTTCCAGAGCACGATACCATAGTCTCTTGAGACTGAAGGATGCCAATGCCTTCTTTTCCTTTAAGATTTCTATTTCTGTTTTAGGGGAAATCCAACATTCTGCCTTTTTAAATATTTCTCAAAGTATTTCATTCTTCTAGGAGAGGGGTGGCTGCTAACTTTCTACACTTGGTTAAGCTTAAAAATCAGCAAGTTGTATTGACTTTGTATATTGGTGGTTGAACCGATCTATAGCCATGTTGGAAAGCACTTCCGTCTGACAGGCTCGTGCAGATAATAAGCTCGTTCTTAAATCACCCAATTTAGAATAGCAGGCAACCAACCTCTCCAATCGAAAGCTTCCACAATAGCCACAAAGGGAGGAAAATAATCCTAGGGAAGATCAGTATCCAATTTTTTAAATTTTTTGCATCTAACACT